TTGCCCAGATTTGCTCCAGGTGATTTTCTGTAAGCATCGTCCAGGCCGATCGAGGACTTCGGCCAGGCCGATTGGCACTGTAGAAAATATCGGCCGGAAAATAGTCCTGGGAACCGTCCAGGACGAGATGAGAAATCTGAAATGAGTTCAATCTGAAAATCTGATATATGTTCTGTTCCGGATCCGATGAATTCTATTCTGGTGTTATAAGCACATCTGTTCTGGTGCCGTGAGCACAAAGGGAGGCATAAGGGGCCTGGATCCTATGAGATTCAGTCAGTGTCTGGGAAGGGAGGCATAAGGGGCCGGAATCCGTAGAGATTCCGTCAGTGTCAGGGCATTTAGCTATGAATTAAATTATCTGATTCTGATTTCTGTACAATTCAATCTGATCTGTATGATATGATTTCTATCTGATTCTGATACGATTCTGTTCTGTTCCGATATGATTTGAACTTCTGATTTCTGTATGATTCCGTTTGTGATTTGATATGTCTGATCTGTTCTGTTTCTGATTTGAGACGACTTCTGTTTCCGTACAGTTCTGTTTGATTTGATTTTATTCAGTTCTGTCTGATTTGATCTGTTCGTATTTGTCCTGATTTGATCTGTTTCGTTCTGATCTGTCCGATTTGATATTTGTCCGATTCAGTTCTGATTTCGGTACGGATTTCTATCTGATATGTTTGGTTTTGGATTCTGAGAATTTTGATTGGAGGTTTGTTGCTTTGCTGAGTTGTTGAGCTCACTCTTGTTTTCTGGTGGTTTTCAGGTTCTGGGAAAGGGAATGAAGTCCAGAAATAGATTTCAGAGTCTGATCAGTATAGGTATTGCTTCATACCTTTTGTTTTTTTTACAGTCATGGCTTTTCTGTTCTGTCTTTTCTTTCTGTCTGAGCCATGTACTGTATTTGTAAATGATTGTTTTGAGGAAAAAGAAAAGATAGATGTTTTGTTCCGCTGTGTTTGATGATTCATAGTAGCTCTGTGTCTGTGTGTCTGTTTGAGTTGAATTATTTGGAAGATTCAGTTCCGAACCAAATTCCATAACCAGATCCTAGTCAGTCTGTTCATTCCGTGTCGCGACCCGGTGCGAGCGGGATCCGTCCCGGATCGGGTCAGGTCGTGACAACCTCCACCCCATCTAAGTGCAACTTCTCCTCCATCTTCTCCTCTACCTCACCCTCACCTCCCTCTTCAGTTTCCTTGTCATCACAGGCGGTGAGAACCTGAAGAGTTCAATCCCTACACCTATGGCCCGGAGTATACCTCTGATCACACCTAAAATATAACCCATTTGTTCTCTTCTCCTAGATCTCCATCTTTATCAATCTCCTGAAATTTCCCCCACTTCGTCTCCTACTGGCTTCTCCCTGGTGGTCTCACGAAATCCTCCTACTGTCCCCTTTGGTGCTAAAAGAATGGTTGTCATCCTGTAAAAGCCTCCTGAATTGCTACTCCTAGCTCCCCCCTCTAGATATCTCTGATCTTCCACCAACTGTGTCAACTCCATCGCCTCCCCCAAGTCACGAGGTCTCTTGACCCTCACTGCAGCTCTAATCTGAGATTTGAGTCTTTTTATGAAGTTTCCTTCCAGTACCGTCTTTGATAGTCATTCCACCCTGCTGGCCAAGTGCTCAAATCTCTCGCGGTAGTCTGTTATTGAGCCATCATATACTAGTACAAAGAACTGCTCATAGAAGTCCCCTCTCCTGCCAGCTCTGAAACATTCTAGTAAGCACTCCTTGAACTCTCTCTAATCTCATATGGGCCTCCTTTGGTCCCTCGACTGATACCACGATAGCGCCTTCTCCTCCAAACATAGCCCTACTGTTGTCAATTTTTCCTCCTCCATTAGTCCGTTGACGGAGAAATACCTCTCTACCTTGTAGATCCACCCATATACATCCTCCCCCTCCTCATTTTTTTATCTCCCCTATTTCCTCTTATTCATCTATAGTTTCCCCTTTCCCAAATGCTTGGCCCTCCCCAAGTCTCCCAATCTTCCCTCCTACGTTCATATACAAACCCTTCTTCGCTTTCTCCCATATTTTCTTCAAAATCAGCAGCCTTTCTCCCATATTCCGCTTCTTTTCTTCCCCAACCAACACCCTTTGATTCATGCCCCTCATACCCATGCCTCCCTCCACACCTTCCATCTCTTTCCTCCATGATTTCCACTTCATCATCCCTCCCACGAAAATCAAAATTCATAGTTCTTCCCATGGGCCCCTTTGCCTCTGATGACGCCATTTGAATTTGACTTTCCAATAACTTTTTCACCATCGCATGAAAATTGGAAACTGTCTTACACAGATGAAACCTTGTCTTCTACGGATGAAACTCAATGTTCCATTGTTGCTTTGATTTGGCTCATCTCTCCTTCAAGGCATTCCTCCAATGCATCTACCTTCTTGGCCGCCATCCAAAATTTTTGTAGGTTCAACAAAATCTGGATTTTGATCAAAAGCAGCGAAAAATTCTTCCTTTCGACCAAGAATCACCCCTGTTTTTTTTTTCCGAATTCAGCCCACACTTGGTCCCAAAATCGGCTCTGATACCAATTTGTTAGAAAATACTTTGAGAAATCCAAGTAATCCCTAACAATAGAGGAGAAAAACAGCCACGAACAAGAATTAGATGGAAAATTTCAGTAAAACAATACCTTGGAATTAAGGAACTCAAATAAATGAAGAAACCAACACAAGATACATTTGATCCTCAATTCAAGATGAGAATCTTCTCTTCCAATCCCTAGATGAAATCTAGGGCCCAAGACTCCAAGACAAGAACTCTCCAAAACATCCACAAAACATGCATAACCCTAACCCTAAAAAACTCTTACTATTTAATCCCTTAATTCAAACTCCTAATTCAAAAATTCCCTCCAACCCTAGCTGCCCCTCTCTCTCTCTCCTTAATTTGCTTCCTAGTCGGGTCCACTAGGCTTGGGCAACATCGAAGGGGGGGCGGGGTTGTCCACCTTCTCTATACTAGAGCCGACCCTCCTTGGGCCGACTAGGCCAATTCAGTGAGAACCGGCCTTACATATTTATGATCATTTATCTTTCAATTTACAAATGTAGGGAAGCCATTCATTTCACTATGTTGTGTTTTAAGAGGGTTCAATTGAACATTAACCCATAATTGTGTCCAAAATAAGTTTTTCATCATAAACAAACGAAGAGATTGATGACCCACAAGCCCACATTAGATGATAACTTGCTGGTTTACTCATTGTCTATGTTGTTTACCTTTTATTACACTCACTCTTCATTTATTACTTTTCGATGGTGAATTGGTATCCATTTTTTTGGTGGCCTTCACTCTAAATTGGATTGCTTTACTTTTTTTACTACATATGTCCTATTGCTATTGGGTCTCATAGTTCTCTCTTGATGTATTCTCTTAAATTAAAGTAAGATGTTTGTAAGTGATGCACTTTAATGAACTACATAAAATTTGATATGCGAAGAGGTGAAATATGTATTTTGGCCAAGTTTGTTTGCCAAAAATAACACTTCAAGGTACTCAAATCTATAACATAATTTACTATATTATGGATGACATATTGGTAGAGTTGCTAAAAATGGATTAAAGATCATGAGCATGATACTCTTGCTAATACTAATCACAACTTTTTGTTATATACATTTAAAACATAGTTTAAAGCACTTTACAAAGCCTAAATATGTCCAAAATATATTTTGCAAAATTTTAAAATACTTACAAGTTATGTTAAAGTTCATTCAAATTAAATTATTAATTTCCTTCCATTACCATCATTATGCCAAAGTTGATAAGCCCCCATGAGCCACCTCTTTTATTGTGGTTATCTTCTAGTTGAGGAGCCCCACGAGCCACTTGATGGGACCTTTTTCGGACTATGTTTTTTGTATTGATTTTTTTAAATTTTTGCAAGTCTTCATTTGGATGTAGACAAAATCTCGTGGAGTTGACAACATGCACTATAATGACTAGTAGCTTAAATGGGGACTTGCATATTGCATGATTTTTAAGAATGGGGGTAAATAACTTTTTATCATTTTTGTGCCCCTCACCTCTCTTATAAACACTCATGATAAACTAGTTATTGAAATAAGTTCTTTGCTCCTAAATACTAAAACTCTTTCAACCTTAAGTGTTCATTCTATGAAGATTTATTGAGCTCAAAAGTGTCAATGCTTAAAATATATTTTCCTCTGTGTTTTACCGAGATATAAGCTATGTAAGATGCACTTATTCACTATTTTTATTTCATTTTTTTACCTTAGCCTTATTGTAGCTTGAAAATTTCTAATTATAAATATAAGAGATGAAGCCTCCTTAGAAGAAAGCATTTTTGTATTATTGGGCACCGTATACTCGTCTATGCCTTCATAGGTGTTTAGCAGGTAACTGGCAAGTCATGGAGGAGGAATTCGCCAGCAAGAAGGGCCCACCTAGAAATCTCACCAAATGATCTGAGAGGAATCACTTACCTCAAGCTTAGAGGGAGAGTGATCAACAAGCAATACTCACTCGAGCCAACCAAGCCACCTTTTGTGGCTCGATCCGAGGATTATCATCCCCTTTCATATGCTTCTTCGTCTAAGTCCCGTAAATCCATCGAACCCCATGATTTAAAAAATCCGGAATTTACGTCAAAAAATAGGGTAACAGCGGGTTTATCTTGCTGTGAGATTTACAGAATTCTCAAATCCTATTTGGCAGGATTTATGCTGAGTCCTGCTCAAATCCTGCAAAAATCTCATTACCAAACAGCCTCTGAGATTAGTGATTGGAGAGAAACCACCCAAAGCACGAGTCTTCCCCACTTTGTGATTATTCCATTGATTCTTCTCCACTACCCTACTCTTGTCTCTCCCTAGTTTCTTCACCTCCTTTATAATCCCTAGCCTAGAAAGCATCTCTACCAATCCCAGGTGTTACCTGATTTTCTGGGTCTCAACTACCTAAGTACTAATAAAAAAAGCACAATTTCAAAAATCGCAAAATTACCTTGGAAGTGAACACGTACTGGCCCTTGGTTTTCCATGCCGCGCTCCTTAAGTACCGGTCGGCGCTGCAGATCTTCCGCATTGTTGCAATGGAGAGGGCGATTGCTAGGTCTGCAACGTCGTCTGTTAGTACATCAGGAGTGTTGGTGACGCGAATGCCTCTTGACCGGCATTTGGCGAGATCGACCTTGTCAAAACCGACGCTGTATAGGACGACAATCTCAAGCTGCGGAAGCGCGTCAATAATGTCGGCGTCGGCCCCCACCGCCGAGTTGCCGACCAATGCGCGGATTGAAGGCGAGTTGGCGTAGAGGAAATCCTTACGGCTCGCTTTCGGAATTTGCCAGAGCCGGAAAAGCTTGCATCGACGGTCGAGCTCAGATTCGAGGTAAGGGTTCAGCGGCAGCATCAGGAGAACACCGAGGGACTCCATGACAAGGCAGAACCAATCTTGACACCACTAATGTATTGTTTATTCTTTGTTCACGTGAAATTGAAGTTACTCCCCCGTTTTACCTTAAATCCCCCCAGACCCCAGCAAAGAACAAAAAAAAATATTGACGCCATTTGACGGATCTCTTAAATTGGAAAAGTCTCATGAACTCGTCGGTGGTCCCGTTGTTGCCTTCTTCACTTGCTTGCTTTCTTCGCTGGCTGGTCCCGTCTACTTGCTACTGCTCCAGCCAGTCTCGTCGCAGCGGCGCCTCTTGTCATTGTCGCGGAGAAAAATAAATATAATATTATTGGATATAAATCTGTACTCTTTTTAAAATCTAGATACTAAAAATTGACCGGAGAACGAATCGGACGTGTTTCATCAGGCAAAATTGGGATTACACCGAATAACATAATAAATATTAATGATCTAATAAATATCTTAAATATAATAAAAAAATTAATCGAATCAGAATATGAAGCTTAAATATATTATATTATCTCCATTCAGGGGCATAATCAATCATAATTTTTAGGAAGGGTAAACTTATAAGTAACTATTGGTATATATGTAGAGGTTCAAGGGAGCAGCGTCCCCTGGAGGGGTTCGATTTGCCCGGTCAGGTCACGGGATCAAGGGGCAGCACCCTTGCAGGGGTTTCCGACGGCAGCGTCCCAAAATAAATTTTGATTTTTACTATTTCTCTTTATATTTGGTTTATCATTCCCTAACAATAACACATCTACACAATGTATTTAATTATATTGAGGGCAATTACCTAAAGACAAAAATCATAGCATTTTAACATTTTTAGGGGGGTAATTACCAAAAAATCCTTATAATAAAGACTAAAAAAATAAATTAAAGATGAACAAATTACCTAAATAACATTATAACAATTTTTAGGGGGGTAATTTCCGAGGGCAGCGTCCCGAAAAAGTCTAACCTCATCCATTATAAATTTAGGCTTTGGAAAAATGTCTTTATTCTCAATTAACTCAAAAATACATTATAAGATTTATGGCTTATCACAGTAATTCTCTTTATCATACTAGGATTAAAAAATATACATCTGAGTGGATGCCTTGTATAAGTTGATAATCTCATCTTCTCTTAATGGTTTTGGTATGTTACCTTATACAATCTATTCACATTTCTAAAGATAATCTTATATTGTATTTCATGCCTTTTACATACCATCATCTAAATACCCTAGTGAGGGGTTCTCATATGAATCAACTATACAAAGCAATTTAATCAATGGACCATACACTTTTGAGATAACAAGACACTCATTTAAAATTCATATCCAAAATAATAGCGACAACTGCTTTTCCGTTGGTGGATTTTGATATCTTTAAATATGTGTAGAATTTACTATTGGCTAAAGCTTGCAATTTATTACTTGTGATCATAGACACCTTTTAAAGTAAGGAATGTAGTAACAAATCTTATAACTCCTAGATGTGCAATCTCCTTCCAACCTAATCTTATTTTAATCCATGCAAGTATAAATACATGATTATAAATAAAAATGGTCACCTATAATATTTGTCTAGCAAGCTCTTCTATGCAAGACATGCTACATATATCCTTCAATATCAAAATTAGATAGTGTGTTTCACGAGATGACAAATAAATATTGATGAATCTCTCATGTAACATCTCTCCAATCTTTTTATAGTTCGCAGCATTATCAATTATTAGTTGCACTATATTCTTCGAGTATATACAATTGACTACCTCAGTGAATAGATCACACAAGGTTGTAACATATTTTGTTAGAGCAGATGCATCAACTGAAGTTAAAAAAATACATACTCTATAGACTGTAAATAAAAAATTTTATGAGCATTCTTCTTCTATTATTAGTTCAATCATTAGCCATGATTGTACAACCCATCTCCTTTAAAGATTGTCTATATGAATCAATAAGTAATTTGTACGCCTCTTTACAATTTCTAAGCAGATTAACTCGCATTCTATAATATGATAAAATTTTGTAACCTAGACATATGGTTGTGATGGCATCAATAGTTTCTGTGCATAGATCGAATTCAAGACATTAAATGGGATACAACAATCAAAGAACCACCTATCTATAACCATATTTGTATGATGTATTGTTTCTTTCGATACTAAGACGCTTTTAAGCGCGGGTTGAGATCTAGGCTTAGATATGAGAGCAAGGAAATTCTCTATCTCATCAAATTTTCTTTTCCCTTAATCAACTCCTGTTGTTTGTACTTCAGATGTTTATAATTTGGGTAGAGAAGAAGAATCAATTCTTCCTCTACAATGTTATCTAAATGAATAAGTCAACTCACTAGCTCCTATTCTTACCTTTTTTTATTTTTGATATGTCCTTTAAATATTTTCTGCATTTGACATTGAATATCGTGTGACACCTTCTTAGATAAAGCAATATTCCCTTTAACTCTTGCTAAATGCTGCTTCTTTTTGTTTATGCCACATCTCTTAAATGTAGTATCACAATGTAAGCATTTGAACTGTTTATTCCCACCAACCCCTCCGACTTCACTGAAATGATTCCAATAAATATCATTTTTTTTGCACACATTATGACATGATGTTGCAAGCTGAGCATTACGAGCTTCCATTCTAATATGAACAACCAAATGAATTTTAAATCCAACTAAGATAATTAGAAAATGAATCTACATAAAAAGGTTAACTTTACATGTGCCATATGACATAACTTTTTTTTTTTTTTTGAAAAAATAGGGACAATCATGCCCAATTTCATTCCAAAAGATGAAATATTACAAAAGATAACAAATGATAAGTAAGAAAAACAAAGGAAAAAAAATTACAATATCAAACTAGAACATAAGGGAGAAAATAAAAAAACTCCTGAAAAGGAGAAAGCATAGAAAAATCCTTATAAAAAAAGGAACCACAAAATACATAAAAGGAAACTAAAAAGCCTCCTATCCAAGCCACCAGCTAAGAGCAAACACCACCAAGATGCCATCACTTATCCAATAACCACAAACAACCAGTAAATCACAAACAACAACAAAAAATAAAGCTCCAGGGACAATAAGTCCCAGAACAAAAAATTATCCAGAAAGAAGAAATGCTTCCATAACCGAAGAAGGAACCCAAACACACGCATATCCATTGAAGAAGGAAGAATGAACTTTCTCCCCTAAAACAAGTAGCAGCCATACAATCACTGAAAAAGCTCCAAAGTCTTATCATTAGGTTCAAAACTCCTTGAAATGAGAAATAAGCAAAATAGTCAGTCCAGCCCAACCAAAAAGTTCCTATCAAACCATAATAAAACAAGTGAGATTAACATATTATATCCTAAAAACAACTAGCAACAAACATCCACTTAAAAAAATCCAGAGTCACTCAACAGCAGGTTCAGAATTCTCAATAACTGGAAAGAAGCAAAATAACCAATCTAATCCAGAAAAACCTCCCTCAAAAGAAGCCTATCAAACCACAAAAAACAAGTGAGTATTAATAGAAAAAACACCAACACCCAAGGAAAAGGACAAACCTATAAAAGCTAAAATTGGTCATCTGAGGTTTTAGAGAAAAACATGGTTGCCAATTCTACCACATTAAAACACATAATAGAATAAAAAGATTCCCAATGAGAAGCCTTAGCAATAAGATTAGAATAAATAAGTCTACTCAAAGTATTAGTGTTAGGAAAATTATTCTCAAACTTTCTATTATTTCTTTCTTTCCAAATAAAATAAATAGAACAACTAACAGACATATAAAAGAAATTCTTAACATGAGAATTAAAGTTAAAGGAGGAAATAAAGTCTAGTAATTGTACTAAATTCGGTCTAAACAGGAAAAAATTAATATGAGGCAAAAAGTTAGAAATAATACCAAATGAATAGTAACATTCAAAAAAAGATGATTGTGATTTTCATTAGCTTTCAAATAAATGATACAAGAAGTAGAGACATTAATATTTCTTTGAACCAGGACATCAGATGTTTTAAGCCCCCTTAATAAAGCCATCCAAGCATAGCAAGAATATCTCAAAGCATATCTCTTATGCCAAATAACTTTATACCACTCCACTTTATTATAAGCTTCAAAATAAGCACTATAAAACATATTAAAGGAAGGAAGTAAAACTCCATTCCAAAAAATATTCAAAATTTGAGGATCCTTGATAGCAACTTGAGATAAAATAGAACTAAGGGTTGGGCTTAAACAAGAAGCCAAATTTTAGCTTTTATTAGAAATCCAATTTCCTATTTTCAAATTAAGAGAATCAGAACCCATAATAATCCTATTAGAAGAAATAATTTCCTGAACAAACTTTCCCAAACACCACGAATCCTAATATAAAGAAAGAGAGTTGCTAGGGAAAATATTAAATTGAATCTTTCCTTTAATATTTCTGGCAATCAAAAAGATATTCTTCAAGAACATGGAAACCAACTTCTACCATGGCTTCCAAAATGAGAAATACTTAAACTTAACCCAAATAGTCAAAGGACCAATGTCATTAATGATTCTCCATATAAGAGAATAGTTATGAGCAAAACTGAGAGCATCGGGATAAAAAATGCTCAGATCCCCAACATCTCTGGGCTTACAAACTTTATTTCAAGCAATGATATGGGTTTTTCTACTAGTAGGATCACCATGAAAAAGGAAATTAGAGCATACTTTTCTAATAAATTTAAAATAATATTTAGGCAATGCAATGCCTTAATCCAATACAAAATAACATTGGAAATAGTGAAATTTAAAAATAATACTCTCCCAACAAAAGAGAGTAATTTAGCTTTCCAACTAGCCAATAAAATATAAATCCTACTAAATAAAAGTTGAAAATCAGCAACTTTCAACTTCATACTAGAAAGGGGAAACCCTAAATATTTAACAGTATAATGAGAAGTTCTAATGCCAAGAATTAAAATAATAGTATATTTTAAAGGCAATCTTTAGAAATAATAACATAGCTTTTACCATGATTAATCAATAAGCCAGAGGCAGCCACAAAATAATTCAAGTTATTATTAGGCTTTCTAGCATTCTCCAAAGTAGCTTTCCCAAAAATGAGAACATCATCTACATAAAAAAG